AGAGAGTCCAGAGAAGGGCAGTGGAGCTGGTGAAGGGTCTGGAGCACCAGTCCTGTGAGGAGCAGCTGAGGGAGCTGGGGGTGTTCAGTCTGGAGGAGGCTCAGGGGAGACCTTATTGCTCCCTACAACTGTCCCAAAGGAGGTTGTAGCCAGGTGGGTGCTGGGGTCTTCTACAAGGAGTAGGACAAGAGGGCACAGTGTTGAGCTGCACCAGGGGAATTTTAGGTTGGACATTAAGAGGAATTTCTTCACAGAGTGATTAGAAACGGGAATGGGCTGCTCAGGGAGGTGGTGGTATCACCATTGCTGAGGGTGTTTAAGAGAAGACTGGAGGTGGCACTCAGTACCACGGTGTGTTTGACATGGTGGTGGTCGGTCACAGGTCGGACTCGACTATCCCAGAGGTCTTTTCCAACCTGATTCTTTCTGTGATTCTGGGGTTGTTATGGAAGCACCGCAAGCTTCCCCAGCCCTGACTGATCTCGTAGGGCTCCTGTGTATTTAACAAAATATGCTCATCGTTCGGTCCCCTTCGCCTTGGAAGCCCGAGCAGCCCCAGCCCGAGCCCTCAGGCGCGGCCGGCAGAGGGCGCCGCGCGCTCCGCGCGGGGGGCGGGCTGTGCGGGCGGGGCGGCCCCGCCTCCCTCACGGTGGCCCCGCCCGCGGCCCCTCCGCGCCGCGGGGCCGAGCGGGGAGTGAGCCCGTCCCGCCCCGCCCGCCCGGGCTCGCCCGCGGCGCCGGCACCGGCCCCGCACACCCGCCGCCGACAGCGCAGCGCGCCGGGCTCCATGCCGCGCCCCGGGAGCCGAGGAGGTGCGGCCGCCCCGCTGCCGGGGGAGCGGGTGGGTCCGGTGGGTCCGGGGGCTCGGCTCCGCGAGGGGCGTGCGGGGGGATGGATGGACGGACGGACGGACGGACCCGCAGAAGTTGCCGCGGGTTTGGGAGCGCTCCGACCGGGATCTCCCGGCTCGCTGCTGGGCGGGAGCCCTCCCGCATCCCCCGAGCGCCGGTCCGGGTGCTGCCCCCGGGGTGGCGGGGCTCGGACAGCGGCGGGGACAGGTGAAGTGCGGGTGGGCAGCGCGCCCGCGGCTCGGGGCGGGCACCGCCGCCAACTCCGCTCCCTCCGTGAAGTGCCGCGGCTGCCGCGGGCAGCGCGGTCGCGGCTCGGTCTGGGCTATTGGTGGTGCGAGGTGGCTCCTAAACCCGCGCTTCCTCACCCGCCCCCGGCCACAGCATCGCGGTGCCTCTGAGTTGTCTCATCCCCTCCACCCGCTCCTCCAGTCAGTGGTTTTACACGAGGCACGGGGACACGCGTCTTCATTAACCATTCATCACCTTGAGCGTTCATTCCTAATTTATGCTCGTCCTTCTGTTTATTTTGTGTGTTGTTGTTCATTCAAGGTCAAGCCGTGGTAGAGTTTGGACTTTATTCGCGTGGAGATGTGATGAGCGCTCTGTAGTCGTGTTCCTTTCCTCCTCCTTCTCCTCCCTCCCACTCCTGTGCCTGCCTGAGCGTTCCTGGAGAAGGCTTTTAAAAGAATAGATGAGGGTCATAAAAAGTACTCGCTGACCGCTGCCTCCAGCTCTTTTGTATAATTGAAATGTGTTAGTTAATTCCTCTAATGAAAACAGAAAATCAGCTTAAGAATTGATTTCCTGAGAATGTAATTTTTGGAAGAAGAAGTTATGCAGGGGATGTCTTTGTTGTGTGCGTAGGTGAGTGGGATAACTGTACCTGTTAGAGCTGGGTACCACTGAAGGTACGTGAGAGAGGATGTGGTGGCTGAGAGCTGATGTTGTTAGTGCCTCGTGTCACGCAGGTGTGTTGTGTGGCTGTTCAGCTGGCTTCGTAAAATCTTCAAACTTTAAGGAAACTGGTTAAAAAGAGGGGTGAACTCTTTAGTTTCTGAAAAGACGCTAGTGGAATGTAGATAATGCCATATCAAAGGTGAAAGATGATGTTAAAGTGATGTGCTCGGGTACAGGGATACTTCTTAAAGAAGACAGGTGTGGGTGTTTTGGGGTGTGGGCTGGGCTGGTTCGTGGGGATGAGACCAGCTCAGAATGCATAATAACATGGTGTCTTTGAGGGAGTAGGCTCGTGGTGTTAAGTGCTAAATTTCCCTAAGGATGGAAGCAGAGAGATGCTGTGCCTGCCTGCACCTGACATATTGCAGGGCTGGGTTTAGAGCATTGTGGAAGTTGCTGCTTTAACTGCTGCAGACATCAACGTGAGGAGCACGACCCTGCTGTAAGTCGTGACGGTTTTGCTGCTTGCCTTGATGGGACTGAAGTTTCATTGTTGATTTTTACAAAAACTATTCAGATGCTGTCCTCAGCAAAGCTTTTCTGCAACACCAGGGGAGAGCAGAAGATTGTACACTCTGCTTTTTTGTTGTGGTTCTGTGAGGGGAAGCTGTGTCTGCTCATCTTCATACGTGAAAACAGAGCTTCTTTTTCAGATTACAGGATTTAAAAGCATTTTTTGAAGAATCCGAAGGAAACAGGACTCATTAGTAAACTTCTTTCTCTTCTGCTTTGCCACTATGGTGATTCAGAGATCCCATTTCTCTCTGGTAATGGAAGACCAAAAGAGCTGTTAAGCTCCATCTGTATGCATTAGGGTAGGTGGTTGATTTGTACCCTGGGGCCATATTATCTGCTATTTCATTACTTCTGGATCAGTAATGATATTCAGGAAAACTGTATGTGTAGTGGCTGCTTTCTAGGGACGTCTCCTCACTAGAAAGCCGTGCCGATAAGGATCACCCCGCGCGTGTTTGCTGACGCTGCTCTGGTGGAGGCTCTCGGGCTGCTTTGAGCTGCCTTTGATGGCACAAAAGTTCCGGGGTCTGTGAGTGAGAAGTGGGGATTCCCCTGGGTCTCCTTGCGCTTCAGTATAATTTGTGTTGGTTTTTTTTTTTTTTTTTAATTCCCTAACCAGTATTCAGAATCTTACATGTCCTCACACAGATGATCGGAGCTCTTGTGCCTCTTTTAGACACTTGGTCTTTTTGTGTTTGGGGACAGCATTAGGTACCCCAGGGGCTGGTAGAGGAGCTTGATCTGGAGCGGGTGAACCATGCCAGGTGCTGCACTTACCCTGTGCCAAGCTCAGTGCTGAATAACAGCACGAAGGTGGTGATGTGGGAGTGGAAAACCCAGGTGGTGGTTGCCCTTTGGAAGCTTTTGATGTCCCTGTTCTGTTGGTGGGTGGGCAGGGGGGTCCTGGTGGAAGATGTGCTGTGATGTGAACGGTTTCATCCGGGTGTCCAAGGCAACTGAGCTTGTCTGGCTGTGCAGGCTGTAAGCAAAGAGTGGGATAAGAAAAATACAAAAAAATAAATTACCCTGAGTTGACAGTGCTGCACTGACACCACAAGCACCTGCGTCTGCTCTACTTCCCTGCCCTGCAACGCTGCTGGCACCCCCATACCTTAACCTGAAGGGATTCTGAAAGCTGAGCAACAGGGATGCTGTTGCAGATTAAAGAGGTGATGGAAATGCCTCTAGGCTGTTGTCCAGGGAGGTAAGTTCTTCATATTCCATTAGAGGAATATGCTGTGCTTTAATGGGGTGTGCTGTGCTGGGCTTGATGCTGTTGATGGGCTGGAGGGGGGGAAGGCAGAGACCTGTCTGCTGGAGCCACCTGACGCAGAGGCGGCTTTGGGAACTTCTTGGGGCATTTTTGTAGGTGAGGGAAACTGTCCTGATGGATTGCCCTGAAGTGTGTTCAGAAAGGATGTGTTTAGGTTGTCAGTTTGTAGGACCTTTATTGAAACTCGGGGGTTTTGTTTCAGTAAGGTGAGAAAAAAGCATTTTTTTCACGAAACAGCTGCTCTGTGGTTTGTTAATGCAATAGAAAATCAAAATTCATCTTGTCCTGGCAGCAGTTCACAGGCTTCGGTGTTACCAGTGCGCTGGAGGATTGGGAATGCTGCAGCTGCCTAGGGGTGAGGGCTTGTGTGGTTTGCTTGTGAACCAGAAAAATGGAGAAGCTGTGAGTGGGCTGGCATGCCTCATTATCCTTGAGTGTCAGGATAAGATCAGACTTCACGGCCAGACTTCTCTGTGGTGATGTGGTGTGTTGCCCTGTGCGTTCTGGGTCCTTCCATGCCATGAGGTTTTGCACACATGTCACTCCAGCTCCTTGCCTAAACTTTGCAAGTGTTGACTCTTCACTGAGATAGCATTCCACCTTTTTTGTTATTTGCCTGAGGATCATGTAGAGCAGGGTAAATGGGAGGGTGAAATGAGGGTGTGATTGCCAGGTGTGGCCAGAATGGTGCTGAGGATGGTGAACCTGGCCTGCTGAGCTCCTTCTGGGAGCTGGGCACCCCAACACAGCCAAAGCTGCTTCCAGAGGGGTGATGAAGCGGGTACTGTGATAGGGGAAGCAGAAAAACCACCACAGGCAAAACAAAGTACTGTTCATGTGAAAAAAATAAACCCCAGGAATTTGTGCTGGAGGATGAGAATTGTGTAGGTCGTTTAAAACCAGAAACTCTGCAAGGAAGGCAGGTTTCTCTGCTCACTCTGTGAGGCTGCAGAGGTCCAGCCTCCGAGTCACTGGCAGACTGTCCTACCTTACTTCTGTGTCTGAGCACAAGAGCTCACTGTCTGCAGTCTGGCTTTAAGCACAAGAACAAAAATATGCTGGTAATGCTCTTTCTGCTTTGAATGCCTCCTTATTGAATCATCTTCAGGCATTCCTTTGTACTTCTGCTGTATTTAGTTAAAATACTCGAGTATTAAGGACATGCTGCATCATTTTTGTTGGGAATGCTCTTAGTTGCGCTTCCTTTCTATTAAGATTTTTTTGTTAGTTCAGCTTTTGTTCTGACTGAAACAAAATCTTCTAATTCTTTTTGCAAAATCTTTTTTGGCCGTTCTCTTTCTTTTCTGTGGAGTCTCATCTTGCTGATGCTCATATTTGTGTCTGAAAATAAGGTAGCAACTTTAAAAGGGGGTTGTTTGGTTTTCTACCTCACCTGCACTCACAGAGCAGGCAGCTGTTTTGACAAAAGTGCATGGAGTGGGTGAGGAAAGAGGTTCAAGGACCACCAAGAAAGCAAATGAAAACCAGAATGTGCAAGCCCAGTTGCAGTGCAGGAAAATACGAGAAGTGTTTCAGCTGAGGTGATGTGACCTGAAGGGGTGGCGGGAACCAGGAGAGAGGGAAAATAAATGGTTTTATAAGTGAAACAGACATTTAGAACTACTTAAAAACTATTAGAAAGTGGAGAAATAGTAACCTTACTGATTCAGTTGCCTAAACAGAAAATGTGTTTATGCAGGAAAGGGATGTTGTGGTAGCGAAGAGCTGTTGTTGAGAGGTTGGAGATGGCAGAGTTCTGGTGCCAGCCTTGCTAGGGGTGAGGGGGGGCTCCTTGTCATTCTTGAGGTTGCCAGGAATGTACAGAAAGACACCACGTGCCATTTGGCTCTGTCAGGCTGGTGTAGCCTTCCTGAGGAAAGACAAATGAAACAATCTCCTCAGTCATTAGGCGTAATTGTGGCTGTTTCTGATCCATCTTCCACAACTCACACTGGCCTTGTTTCAGCACACGGTGAGAGCAGTGTGGGATTCTGCCCGCTCAGCAGGGGTTTGTGGACAGCAGAACTCTCACATTGTCAGGATATGTAAGTATTTATATTAAGAAAAAGTAATGTTTTTGTTTGTGTCCAATAGGACAGTGGTATCGAGTCTTCAGATAGACTTTTTATCTTTCCTTAAGCCCCTGTTTTAACTGAATGGCTGGGTTTCCATTGCAAGATTGATCTGAGTAGATAGTAGAGAGCAGAGAACTGTTGAGGGTACTGCAGTGTGGGGGTGATGATCCTGGACATT